CACACCATCTCCATTTTACCATGAAGTATGTCGTAGACCGTATCAACAATATCCATGAAATTGGGGGCAAACTTACAGCCTCCTTCGTAATGCCATAGCAGCGAACAGAGAGAGTTGAAATATTCGTTGTCTCCACATCAAAATAACGCAATTTTTTACCACCACACAAAGCACCACAAATCGCAATCGCCAAATCCGCCACCAAAGATACCACCACAAATGGAGGATTCAACGAGAGGGAGGAGAGAGAAGCGTTTGGGAGAGGAGAGCTGCAACGGCAGACAATGGAGGATTTGGAGGAGAGTGATAGAGGAGTGAGAGTGACGTGATTTAGATTTTAGGGTTTGAAAATAAATTTAGGGGTGGGGTGGGGTGGGGGTGGGGGTGGGTGTATATATATTAATTTTTATAATATTATTATCAATATTTAATAAAAATATTAATGAAAATGTAAAAAATCTGATTTTGAAAATGTGAAACTTCTATCCTGATTTTGGAAATGTGAATACATAAACTATGGTTTTGTGTAATTACCACTTTACGATATCCCCAAATCTAAATATACGAGAAATGTTATTTTTTTATTGGGCAGATATTTTTTTTCCCTACTGCAAATGCATTCGCCTTATTCCACGGGATCCTATTTATTGGTTTTACAATAATACATCTTAAATGGAAAAAAGTGGATTATGTTATAGAATTTCTCTACTTGTAAAGAAGCAGTATTGCCATAATTTCACCATGTGCTACCATTTGGTTGGTCTTTTTTTTTTTTTTTGGCATTGTCTAATGGAAAACTGCCAAGTGTAATATGCGGAAATTCTCGTAGGATTTTTCTGTACACATAGCATGGCTGTTTGTTATAAGGCTTGAGCTCACAACTTGTACAACGAATACATAGCTGTTAATCTCACAATTTATAAGCCTCTAATAAGCCCATGTTTAATTCCATTTAAATCAAAACTCTTTAATTCTCATACTCATTTTCAATCACATTTACACAATAGAATATTTTGCATGTAAATTCAAAATATTTTCTACCTTTTAACTACAACTTTTCTAAAAAATTACTATTCAAAACTTCATTGTTTTCAAAATAACGACCATCAAACATGAACTAAGTTGTCATTATAAGTTGTGCGCTTTTTCAATCCACCCAATTATAGGCCTCAAGGAGTTATTAGATCAAACTCGTTCGACGATCCGAACAAATTAGCGAGTCAATGGTTCAACCGTTGGATTAGTGGTTCAACTGTTGGGTCATTGCTAGACCAAATTGCTATACACACACAAACACACACACAAAAATTAAAATACTTGTCTAGAGGGAGAAAAACAGGATGTTGTGGCATGTGTTAATTGGATTTTTTTCAAATTGCTCAATCAGACGTCGACACGTGGCGGCCTTGTTTTTGAATTTGTTCATGTAGCATGGTTGATACACACACACACACACACAAAAAAAATTAATACAATGACTCTGTAGTTGCCGCAGTGGTCAAGATATTCATCCTTTTTCACATGATGCACAAATTCAAATCTCTATTGCTACAAATATGATATTAAAATTTTGCTATGGAGGGTTTTGATCGATTTGAGCGATTCTTGACCAAGTTCTTAGACAGTGAACCAATTGATGCTAATCAGACCAAACCACAATCTGATTTGACGATATTCGGGACGGATCGGTCAATCCAATCCGATTTTAATAAGTCGCTGATTGACAACCATTGTTTTTGAAAAACAATGTTTTGAATAGTGATTTTTAGGAGAATGTGAGGTTAAAAAGTTGAGAAAAATTTTGGGTTTACATACATAATATTTTATTGTGTGAATATGTGGTTGAAAATAAGTATGAAGAAAAAAGAAGTCTGAAATAATGGTTGTCAAATAGGGGCTAAGTATGGCCTCAAGGCTTAAAATAAAATCACTTATTTTTTTGAGAATAATGCTACTCTCTCTGTCCGAATTATATATGCTGAGTTTCCTTTTTCGTTTGTCCCAAATATATAGGCATGTTTCCTAATATAGAATATTTTGTTATGTTTTTTTATCAATATACCCTTATTAAATTTTTTCCAATTAATATGTCAAATTCTTGAAATCATCCAAATACCCATTTCCCACTTTTTGGAAAAATGGAATGACTACTGCATGCTTATCGAAAAGCACAGAACAAATAACATTTCATCATCTTCTTCAAAATGTGTCTACCATTTCTTCTTCTTCTTTTGTCTTCTCATATAAATAAAAATCAATTATGTGAGGTGGTGAGGCCACAAATAAAAATCAATTCTGTGAGGTGAGGCCATGACTATAAACTCTACAAATCATCCACGTTCCATTGAGGTGAGGCCATTGCTTGATTCTACAATTGTACGAAGTAATATGAACTCGAACAAAGCCGTGAGGCCTTTGCTTGATTTGAATGCTCCGCCGACTAAAGACGGTTACGTTTCCGCTTCTCAAGAGTTTTAGCAAGTTGTTTCTCATATGATGAAAATCTATTTCCCAATTATATATGAGAACCAGAATGATTCTCTTGCTGATAAAGACGCTGATGATATCAAGAAATAGCAAAACCAAATTTTGAAAGTCTGATGTGCAACAGATGTTTAGTAGGTGTATCTTTTTCTTTTTAACATTACATTTCCGTCTGGTGT